ATAGAACTATGGAAGTACTACGTTCTATGAAATTTTTTTATGACTTTAGATTAAGGCATAAATTATCTCTAGTTTCTAAGGTTTGCTTCCTCTCTGTCCACATTATATGAAACTCTTTTTCTTGATGAGTTTCTCTTGATAAGGAATCATATCTACACTTGATATGTTGAAGTTGCTTTCATTATTCAGGATTACATCCTGGTGGTTTGCAAAGAGCTTGATGAATACAAATGTTGCTTCCGGGTTTCTGAGTTTTGTACGTGTCATTTCAGATAATGTAGTGTTTTATCCTTAGCAACTCTGTATGTATTGGGCATATTAGTTGAGGAAGAAGCCTATATGCCAGATAATTACCCGTAGTTCATACCTTGTGATTATTTAGTCACCTTTGTTGTTGGGAAATGGGAGATGTTTGGTGCTTGCTTTTTTTGGATGATCAATTTGAGCTGAGTCCTAAATATATAATATGAAGCTGTTATTTAAAGCCTTTATCTCATGCAATTTTTTTATTTTTCATTTTTTTTGTAAATTTTGAAGTATGTGGCATTTAGTATCCAAGGGATATTTCTCGTAGAAAGATACCAAAAATTGCTTCACGTTTTTACAAGAGCTTGCATTTTCTGTGTCCTCTGCCCTACTTATTTACATGTGTGACACCCCTTTTGGTGTCTTTCTATTTTAATTTTTTGTTGCTTATTACTTTGTAGTAACACTGTACTTATTGCAATTTATAAATTATCGATTGTCTTGTAACGTAACATGGCTTGTCCAAGTGGCTGAGCGTAATTGATGAGGTTATGTAACGATTATTAACAGTTATTAAAGTTTTGCTCTCTTTTCTTCCTCTCATGCTCGCTTGTGTCTGCCTGTGCTTGTGCATGTGTATCCTTTGGAGGGAATTTCTTTGGTGAAAGACTGCATATAATTTGGTCATGATTTCTTGTGTGGATTAATTGATACTTGAATTCATTTTGAAGATCCAAGATTGATTGTAAACATTTGTTTATGGTTTTTTTTTTTTTTTTTGTGTGTGTGTGTGTGTGTGTGTGTGTGTGTGTGTGTGTAGGTCAGGAAAGTTTTGTCGCACTTTTTTGATGTGTGCCCCAATGCTGAAGCTGCTATTGGCACTGATGTCACTAGAATTGCAAGTATGATACAAAGTTTAGGGTTGCATAGAAAGAGAGCAGCAATGATTCAGCAATTATCTAGGGAGTATTTATCTGATGATTGGACACACGTGACTCAGCTGCATGGGATTGGAAAGTGAGTGAAACTGATGCTTCCTTGGTATTGTTAAAAAGACCTGCAAAGTTATTGACTTATTGTAATCCTCCTAAGATGTCCAAAACATTCACCCACATTACATGACTGGTTTGCATTTCATTGTACAGGTATGCTGCTGATGCATATGCAATTTTTTGTACTGGCAAGTGGCGCCAGGTAACCCCAAATGACCATATGTTAAATCATTATTGGAAATTTCTTCAAAAGCGTGGCCTCAAGGAAGTTCCTTTGTAAGTTATTAAGTGGCAAGATAAGATTTAATACTTGATTGTAAGCCAGTCCATCTTCTGGAGTTTGGTGTACATATTTATCACTTTAGGGTATTAGTTGTAGAAACTTTGGTGTGTATAAGTGTAATTCTATTGTAGTGCGGAGTAGATTGTCAGAGTGTTTATTCTTAACCTATTTTATTACAGAGATATTTTGGCGTTCCAAAAAAAACTATTGGAATTTACTCACTGAATGGTCAAGTCTGCTGTCACTTTATGGTCCTTGTGGCCCTTGTGATGAAATTTGTGAACTTTGGTAGAGATCAATTGAGGTGATCTAATTTGTGAACTTTGGTAGAGATCAATTGGTAAAGATTTACTCGGTAACTCATACTTTGTATAAGGTTACAATTTGCATGATCTAACTATGTTATTTCCCTTAAACCTGTTATATTCATTATTACTGTACTACTCCCTCCGTCAAATATTATCTGCAACTTTTGCCATTTTGGGATGAGTGCAATTATCTGTTTGTTTTTTCCATTTTTAGTAAACAAAAACCCTATAAATTACATATTTACCCTTACTTAAAAATTCTGATTTTCTTAATTTTTACCCTTATGTTAGCTTAATCACATTAATCTTAAAACAATCATATTACCCTAATTTAACTACTCCCTCCATTTATTATCCCATTCCCCCTAACTACTCACATTCACTCCCAATCCCAACCACCAACAATTAATGTGATGGCAGATGAACCCTAGTTCATGTTCATGTTCTTCGTATTCCTTTCTCCTCTTCGTCCTTCATTTTCTCCAAACTCACTCTCTAGATCTGAACTTCTAACATCAGATCTTTGAAAATTTGAGTCCCATAACACCATGGTTAACCTTGAACCACTGCATGATGCGTATATTGCCACTAACGACAACGGTGAGGGGAAGTTGATTATCTCCCTCATTCAATCCTTTGAGGCCGGATCTCCCTTTCCTCGCCAATCTTATGAATCTGGTGAGGCTGGTCCTTACTGTAGTTCGACCACCTACAAACCTTTGGGTAAGGTGCTTGAAAGCGTTGAAGAGGAAGGCCTCCTGGAGAGGACTGAGGGTCAGGGTGAGTCTCGTGGGAAGAAATCGCTAGATTTCAGTGCTGTGGCGCCTGTGAAAGCGGTGACGGTAGTGTTGTGGCCACCCAAAAGCCCAAATCTAAGAGGGCTAGGCCACCCACGAAAATCCGGGCTACAAGGAAGGCGGCGAGGGTGGCTCTGAGGCGGATCTGTGGGTTGCCAGATGAGGAGTGGGTGGTTTTGTCCTCTGACGATGAGCCTGACAAGGCGGAGACTTCATCACCTCCTCCAAAGAATGATGAAGAGAGGCGGATGAACCCTAAGGTTCAACCCTCCAACTGACTACTTGCGTAACGAATCCTAACCCTAACCCTAACTTGTTTCATTTTTAATTTGAGTCCCATGTTGTTTGTTGTATGTTGCGGTGATGAGGAGTCCCTTTTCTTGTCATGATTATTGCTGGCTTGTTGGATCTGTGTTCATGAGTGTGTTGGTTGATTTATTTTTAGTTGGTGTTGTTTAGTGTTGGTTACTATTGGTTGATGCTGTTGTTTGCTGGCTTGTTGGATCTGTGCTCATGACTGTGTTGGCACATTAATTTTTTGTTGGTGTGGCTCTACTATTTCCATCCACTTGGCTGTTCTTCGTGAATATCTTTCGTCTCTTCCTGGGAATCCAATGGTTACGCTGGAAGAAGGACTAACAGTTATAACCGAGTTGTTATTTAGTGTTGGTCACTGTTGGTTGATGTTGTTGTTTGCTGGCTTGTGGGATCTGTGCTCATGACTGTGTTGGTTGATTTATTTTGGGTTGCTGTTGTTATTTACTGTTGGTTGCTGTTAGTTGATGTTGTTGTTTGCTGGCTTGCTGGATTTGTGCTCATGACTGTGTTGGTTGATTTCTTGGATGTTGGTGTTGTTGTTCAGTGTTGGTTACTGGTGGTTGCTACTGTTGTTTGCTCTATGTTGTGGTGATAAACAGTTCCTCTCCCTGTGATGACCTGTGTTGGCTTGTTGGTTCTGCTTTGCTGAGTGTGCTGATTGTTGGTTATTGTTTGGTGATGTTGGCTAGTTATGGTGAATGTTGGTTACTGTGGGTTATTGTTGTTGGCATGTTGGATATGTCTTCTTGATTAGGGGAATGTGATTGATGAATGATGAGGCTACTCTGTCATATGGTTTGCAAGGGCTACATTTTCAGTCCCTAGGTGTGTTTAAAATGAGCAGTCCCAATTGGTTTTATTTTGATACACTCAAGTTGTGAGTCCCCCATCTATGTTTTCATAATACCTAAGTGTTGTTTTGTAATCCAAATAATGACAGGACTCCATTGAATGTCACTTCACACTAGAGATTTGCTCACACAATTTCTTGTTTGAGATTGTTGTTGAGGTACCTTTGGTATGAAGTGTTGTATTCAACAACGTGATAAACTCTCCTGAAGGATTACTTGGCCAGACATCAAAAGTCATTTTCATTTTCATTCCATATGAATGTGGGTACAAAAGAAATTACATCTAACTGCCTTACATGGTTGCATCATCATAATCAACAAAATACACCTAACCACCTATTCATGCACAAACAATTATTTTAAAAAAACATTACAGAAATAGCTAAGTGGTTATGTGTGGCAGTCCACGTTGTTCATCTTCATTGGGAGTGGTTTGCTGAGTCCCCTAGTCTGCATTACCTCCATGTCTTTTGCTGCACCTTGAGTCCCTTGACTAGCTGGCCTAAACATGGTGTTTAGGTACTCCACAGCATCCACCACAACTTCCTTCCTCACTTGTACTTGATCTGGTAGAATGCCCAAATTTCAAGTTTCTTTTTGTTCATGTGTGGTATTTTGTACTTGTTCCCTCCTTGTGCCTTGAGAATTTTGATCATGCATCTTTGCAAAGTCACCCAAATGTACTTGTTTACTTGGGGCTTGAATGTGCTATAACACTCAATCACTTTCTCCACTAGCTCATCTAGGTCCTTAGGGAAAGATTGATATTACAAGGAATGCATTGACCTAAATAAGCCTAAATCCAACACATTTAAATCAGGTGATTGTGCTGGTTGGAAGACAAGTTGAATATTGAACCCATTTGCTGTGATTGCTGCAATGAATTCTTCATCCTTGGGAACTTGGTGAGGCCTTGCATTGTCCCATTGAATGATGACATTTTTTGGCAGACTTTCTGGCCATTTAGACTGAATTGCTGGTATGACCTTTGTGAGCAACATCTCCCTAATAACATCTCTGTTCACATTCTAGAGTGCCTTGGTTACCAATGTGCCTGCTGCTCTATTTTTGCTTGATTTCTTTGCTAACTCTTTCACTGTGAATGGGAATATGCCATACTTCCCATCATGGAGTAGTCCCCCATCTGTGTCATACAATGGCTTCCCAATTAAGGCCATAAACATAGCCTTTAGCTTGAATCTTTTTTACTGTTGTGCCATATATGGGTCTTCTTCACCTGGAAGGAGATAAAATCTTCTCTTGTCAGGATTGAGATAGAACCATTTCTCATCTATATGTATGACATGGTTCATGTCAACAAAAGGGGGGTCCTCATCTGCTGTGACTGGATTTATATGTGACAGCACCCATTTCAGTCTAGCAACCTTGTAGTCTAATGTGAGAGCAGGCTTGTTACTGCATGTATGTGTTATGAGCTTTCCTTTTTTCTTCAAATTGTGAAGAGTTACATGAGAAATCTTCAGGACAGCTGCATAACTTCTCTTAGTCTGCCTAAGATATAGAGGGACTGATTGTAGGAATTCATCTGAAAATTCCCTTGGCTTTGGACCTGTTCTGCCATACTTCTTAGTCCTGACATCAATCTTATTCCCCTGTGCCATCTGTTTTTTAATGTCAGTAAAAACTCTACTGATTGTTGACTTGTGAACTCTGAATTGGATGGATAACTGTTTCATGTGTCCCTTAGGTAACATGCCATCTTGCATTGTAACCAGCATTGCATCAACAATCTCCCTTTTCTTTTGCAAAGTCAGCTGTTTTCTACTGGCAGCTTGAGTCCCATGGTCTGCCCCATGTTGCATGTTCTGGTTTGCATTAGTTTCTTCTATGCGTTGTTGCCCATTATCTGCCTCTTGTTCTTCTTCTTGCATATTTTCATTTTCTGATTCATATTGCTCGAAATCTTCATCTTGCATTTCTTCATGTTCATCATAATACAGTTCTGCCAGTGCTTCCTCTGATAAAAGTTGGTCAACATCTAAAAACACTCCTTCATCAAAATGTGCCATGTTTTCTGTTTTGTATGTGTTTGTTCAGATGTAAGAAGATGAAGAGGGCTGGCTGGTGATTTTTTTTGGGAGAAAGAGCTGCCCTGTGTGCATATGAAGTCAATGGAGGTTGATTGCTAATGCAGATTGAAGATGTGCAACACTAATTTTAGTTTAGGGTAATTTTTTGTGAAGAAATCAGATTAGGAAGTTCTCAAACTTATGGTTAAACAATGTCATTTTTTGGAAAGACAATTGGTTTGTAAGAATTGAATGCTACCTGCTTCGGAGGCTGGTTTTATAGGCCTCATAAATGGTGTATGTCTGTAAATGCCTCTTAAAAGGGGACTGATTTCAGGTGTTATTTTGGCTTAAAATTCAAAACTTTTACAATTCAAAATTTGGTGAAATTTCAGCGAAAAAATGAGAGGGAAAGTAGCTGCCCTCAACTTGCTGATTTCCCACGTAAAATTAATTGTGGGGGGTCCTACTTTCTCTCTCCTTCATTACTTTAATTAGTTTCCAACACTTTCTCTAATCTTTGCCCTTTAACTTTTGCATTGGCAACCGCAAACTTCATTTTTGTTGCAGATAATATTTAACGGAGGGAGTATATAATTAGGCGCTAAGCTATGGGTCGAACAGCTAGAGTACTATATTTCTTGTTGCCTGGATTGGAGCCACTAGACGAGATGTCGAACCCAATGAAAGGGGCTTTGTAGAAGAGTTTGATGCCTCAGATTGCGCCCAATTGGGGCAGATTTCAGGGATGGAACATTCTATAAAAACGACCTTTGTCTTCTGAATTCATTATATTATTTAAGAAAAAGATTGAGCTGTAACATGGAGTAATAGTAACCGTAAAACACATATACCTTCGGCCTTCCATGCCCTACAAAGATCTGATCGGGGTACGTAGCTGGAAGGTAGCTGTGTTACCCTTGGAGAACAATCTTCAATGAAAACCAATAAGCTTCTAGGGCAGCCATAAAAGTAAAAACTTGATATAACTTAGTTGAGACCTACAATTGAGTGTCAAATTTCCCCTAATATCTATTGCTCCAAAATTTATGGCTACGACAATTACTTTTTTGGCTATTTGCTCAGGATTTTTTTTTCCAAAGTAAGCTTTATTACAAAACTATTTTGTAAAGTAGACTTGTGGCCAAACTATTTACCAAACTAAGTTTCTAGGGTAAAACGCTGTCTCGGACAGCGTTTTATACCCTGGTTTTTTAAAATAAAAATTCAATGTGTAAAACGTTGTCTCAGAAAGCGTTTTACATGTTGACTTTTTTTTTTTTTTTTTTAATTTTGTAATTTTTTATTTTAAAATAAAAAAATAAAAAAAAAATTTACACTAAAAACGCTGACTGAGCCAGCGTTTTTAGTGTAAATAATTTTTTTTTTTTAATTTTGTTTATTTTTAAATTCTTAAAAACATCCCAATTTTAACTGATACTTATTCCCTAGCTTAGAGTTTGTGTTGGCAACTTGTTAAACAGCCTCAACAAAGATGGGGGAATTGGACCAGAAAAGAGATTATATGAGATGTTCACAATATTTAAACTACGCATATCACCTAGAACTTCCAAGGACCCTGTCAAATTATTGTGAGATACAGTTATCCTCTGTAGACTGGTTAATCTCTACAAATCAGGGGATTGTTACTAAGATTCAAGGAAGAGAGGATCAAATTCTTTGATGCAGCGATTGAGGACGGAATTGATCCATTCAGTAAATTTCCACCAAGATGAAGTTCTCAGAGCATTTGAAGTTCAAACAAAAATGGTGGAACTCCTCCTGTCTGACGATTTTCCCCCAAATCTAAGGATGATAAAGTTGTCATGCTTCGAAGGCTTGCTGGAATTGATCCGTTTAAAAAATTGAAAGGCAGGTCCAACTTTAGCAATTTACGCCAATTGCTAAGCTCATGTGGCAAAAGGCCTTTCAATTTGTTATGAGATATAAAAACAGCTTGAATTTCTGTCAAATTACCGAGCTCCGGAGGCAGAGAGCCAGAAAATAAGAATTAGTCAGTGTTTTTAGTGTATTTTTTTTAATTTTAAAATCAAAAATCACAAAATTTAAAAAAAAAAAAAAAGTTAACATGAAAACGTTGTCTTAGACAGCGTTTTACACATTAATTTTTATTTTTAAAAACCAGGGTAAAAACGCTGTCCGAGACAGCGTTTTACCCTAGAAGCTTAGTTTGGTAAATAGTTTGACCACGAGTCTACTTTACAAAATAGTTTTGTAATAAAGCTTACTTTGGAAAAACATCCATTTGCTCATGTCGAGTGGGTATTAAGAGCATAAACAAAAATAAACTACAAGGGTTGCCAACTAAGCTTTTCGAGCGATAGCCATTTTAATCTCTCAATGGTAAACTACAATCTTTATGTATTTAGGATGAGTCCCATAAATAAAAGCAAAGGATATTGTTAGAATCACAAAAAATTAAAGTCACCAATTGTATTTTTTTTTCTTTTTTTTTGGAGTTTCTACTACACGAACTAAACTCAATCTTTCATCTGTTGCACTCTCCAATCCTAATATCTATTGCTCCAAAATTTATGGCTACGACAATTATTTTCCCAACAAGGAGCATCTACATAGTTGATTTTTTTGGCTATTTGCTCATTTCAAGTGGGTATTAAGAGTATAAACAAAAATAAACTACAAGGGTTGCCAACTAAGCTTTTCGAGCGACAACCATTTTAATCCCTCAATGGTAAACTACAATCTTTATGTATTTAGGATGAGTCCCATAAATAAAAGCAAAGGATATTGTTAGGATCACAAAAAATTAAAGTCACCAATTGTACTTTTTTTTTTTCTTTTTTTTTTGGAGTTTCTACTACACGAACTAAACTCAACCTTTCGTCTGTTGCACTCTCCAATCTCCCATCACTATTTTATAAGTGTTGTGCAAGGGATCAGCCCAAGCCTAGTATCTGTTTCACTTATGCAAGAAGGCCCAAGAATACTAACAATTGATGACAGAGAAGTTGTTAAGAAATCAGTTTTGGGGAGAGGGTAAAGTAGTAATTCATGAATAAGTTAGTTACTGAGTTTGTTATTTTGATTCCTTTTGCTAGCTGCTTCTAGAGTTTGTTAGCTTGCTTCATTTTGGGTATTAATAGAAGTTTGGGGTCAAGGGGAAGGCATGAAGAAAGGAATATCGTTAAGCGTTTGCTTAGTGGGAGAGCTCCTTTCCTCTCGAAAGAAAGGTGTATTGAGTGATTGCTTTGACCAATTCAATACGAACTATCCTCAACCTTACTCAAATTGGTACCATTACAGATTTCCTTGCCTGAGTTCATGCAAGTCCTAGCATGTTGTTGTTTGCTTCAATTACAAAGCAACTTTGCTTTGTAGAGTGAACGTGATGTATGAAGCTAATTATGACATTTCATTGCATTACAACTTTGATCTTTAGTATTGGTGAACTTGTCATCTCTCTGACCTTGTGTCACAGAAAATGAAACGTTTAAATTAAATGATAGGTTAAATAAGAAAAAAATAAAGTAAATGTAGGGAAATTTTGTGAACAACTACCTATTTAAGTCTCTGTTTTGAAAACAACTACCTTTTAAAAAAAAAAAATTAAAACAACTACCACAAACTTGTAAAAAGTTAGAGTAGCACTACCACTTTTAATATTCCGGCAAGAATCTCCGGTGAGTGGGGCCCACATTCGTCCTTTCCCTCCAATTTTTGACATATTTTATAGTTTTATATGCCCAAATTCCAGCAAGAACATCAAATCAAGTAATTTCATAGTTTTATATGTTAATTTGGGTTCGTAATTGGGAAATTGGGGAAATTAGGGTTTCGCAATTTTTTGCTTTTTGGGTATATAGAACGGATTTATTCACATTAGGGTTTATTAATTGGTTGTTATCGATGAATTTGCAAGGTATTTGCGAATTAAATCATGTCCAATTCATAATATACGTAAATTTTAAAATTAGGGTTCAAGTCCAAGTCAAAAATTGGGGAAAAGGACGAATGTGCGCCCCACTCACCGGAGATTCTTGCCGGAATTTTAAATGTGGTAGGTGCTACTCTAACTTTTTACAAGTTTGTGCTAGTTGTTTTAAATTTTTTTTTTTAAAAGGTAGTTGTTTTCAAAACAGAGACTTAAATAGGTAGTTGTTCACAAAATTTCCTAAATGTAGTCCATATTGTTGTAACTATTATGCTTAGAGCCTTAGAGCAAGAGCAAGCCGAGGTTGAAACAATTCCATCAACATGAGTCGAATTTGGTAGCCGTTATCGCATTACATAAACACAGAGTCACCTTTGAAAGTTGTTAACCCAACAAAGGAACGTCCGACAATGGCGAAAATGGTAAGCAAAACAACATTCTGTGTATCATCATTGAATTGGAAACCCAGAAAAAGCATTCTGATATCCTCAAAGGGAAAGGGCGCTGCTCCTCTCCTCTTTCCCGCATCCTTTCTCTCTCCTCACAAATCCCAGCGTCGACCCATTTCGTTACAATCCAAAGCATTCGGCAAATCAACCTCCACACCCAAAACAGACAATGACAAAACCCAGAAACAACAAATTGAACAAGATGAAGAAATTGAAGTTGAAGAAGATCTTCCATGGATACAAGAAAAAGCTTTGGATTTGGTCGAATTCACTGGTTCTGTTTCTCAAGCTATCCCTGGTCCACGAGTGGCCCGGACCTCTTTCCCTTGGTTTCTTGCTGTTCCTTTAGCTCTTTTGGGGATTACTTTTGTTACTAGCTTTCTCAAGGCTCTTAACAAATTCACTTCCCCAAGAGAAAAACGCCGTAAATTGGTATATCATTTTAATCATACTTGAATTCATTTTATCTAGGTTTTACTTTCAATTTTTATCTGGGTTTCGATTGATTGATTGCTTTCCTTTGTTTTCAATGTTTTGTGTTTTCAATTGGGTATGCTTTCATCTTTGAGAGGACCCTTGTCTCTCATTATGATTATGTATGTTAACTTTAAGTAGTTTAGCTTTGATGGAGTGATATG